CATGTATCTTTCGATACATGATCTCTTAAGTGTGTATCACGCATAGCACATAACTGACTGACTGACTGACCCTTGGATTTGGTTTGTTTTGTTTTACGGCATGTCAACCACAAGGGGTTATTTAATGCAGACAAAATTTTCTTTTTTTTTTAAATGCATAGCTAGTAATATTTTTTTAAAATGTATAGTTTGTTTTGTTTTGTGGCATATTAACCTCAGTGGGTTATTTAATGCTGACAAGATTTTTATTTCTGGTAATATTTTCTTTTTTCAAATATTTATTGCTGATTCTAATGTTTTTAATGTATTTCTGGTATTAAAATCTTTTTTTACATTTTTATAGTGTTTTGAGCCCGGTTGTGGAGGCAACTATTTGCCCATAGCTGGGACCCTAACAGGTGCTACCACCCCTAGTCAGGGTGGACCTGGGAAGACCAGCAATTAAGAGGTGGTACCACGCTCCTCAAAACCTCCTGATCAGAGGCCTTGTTGCTGGATGTAGTTTATCGTCGTACCCAGGACGGCCCCATGGATTAGTTCCACTTAGTGTTCTGAGTTTCTAACATAAGGTGACGACTTCCCTGTTAGTTGTAAGTATATCCACTAAGAATGGGCACCTCGGCGTGGTGTAATGGTTAGAAAGCTTGTCTTGCTAGATCATTTACGATTGAGTAGTGAGTTCGAACCTCACTGGGTACCCCATACTTTCGGCCTTGTGCCACATCTAAGCTGTGCTTAGAAAATCACTTTGGGCACTTTGAGGTGGTGTAATGTTTAGCAAGCTTGTCTCGGTAGAACAATTATGAATGAGTAGTGAGTTCGATCCTCACTGGGTGCTTCTTACTTTCGGCCTTGTGCCACATCCAAGCTACACTTGGAAAATCTCTGTCCACTAAGAATCCGCTCAGCTGATTATAGGTTTTAATGTAATACCAACCTTGTCAAATTTGTGGTGTAACTGTTGTGTCAACTGTCTGTACTTATTTAGTGTGAAATATTCCATGTTCTTATTTAGGATCACTGACAGCGTCCTCTTAGATTTTAGAGTCAGGCCACCTTTTCACCTTGCTATAGCTGCCATCTCCAAAAAGTCTTCCCAATTTTTCGGATTATTCCAAATTTTCCATCACCACTGAAGCGGTGTTTTTGTCAGCAGGCAGCATGAAGATACTAGTCTCATTCTGTAAGGGCCTTGATTACCAAAATTTCTTCCCTTGTGATTGTTTGAGTTAGGCGTTTTCGTCTTTTCTAGTGTTTCTCTAATGCTCTATCTTAGCTTAACCGCTTGGGCTTTTGATGTTTTCGAGGAAATCTCCCCAACTGAAACTATCATGTCTCAATCTTAAACTCGCCTGATAAATGGCTGTTCTCTCGAGGAGGTTCCTTTTGAATGCCTGTTGAAACTCAAACAAACACCAAAACCTCGAGGAACTCCTATATATCACTTACGCTGAAAAAAAAAAGCCTAAACCTGTTTTGGTCTGTTTAGAGGCCAGAAAGAAAGATACGAAAGACGAAGGTAGGTTGAACAAGTGTACTGAAATAACAGATATATACAAAGCAAGAGTGTTAGTAATAAGCAGATAGAGGTGTACATCCGAACGGTAGGTTAACACTGCGTCTCCGCTATATTTAACAGCTCCGCCCACGTGGGTTGTATATGGCACTAGGCCGAGTTTACCATGGGTTCTCCGAGCCTGTAGGCTCAGCCAAAATTATTCCCTTTAGAGCCCTCATAAGCGGGTTCGGGATCCGTCTACCTACCCGGACGAAAGTTTGCCCTTCGGCAAAGCTTCGTCCGTGTTCCTCTCTACCAAAGCAAAGAGGTCGACAGAAGTCACACACAGTCAGATATATTTAACGTCCCCCTCCCACGTGCGTCGTATGTGGCACAAGGCCGAGTTTATCGTGGGTTTTCCGAGACCCTAGGCTCGGTCAAAAATATTCCCTTAGAACCTGTATTAATGGGTTCAGGGCCTGTCTACCTCCTCGGATGAAACTCTGTCCTTCGGCATAGCTTCCTCCGGGTTCCTCTCTGCCAAAGCAGAGATTTCGACAGAAGTTGCACACAGTCAAAGACAGTGTCTCCGCCTCCGACTCTCGCAGTTAGTATTTATGAAAGGAGGAAGAATTCATTCTACTATAGGAGGATTTACCACAATAATTAGAAACCCCTTTTTTCTCATTAAGTGGGCTTTGTTGAAAAAACAATTCTGGTCCCTGAGGAAATAAAATAGTCTTTGAAGCAGATAATAGTTTTCTAAATGTTTATATATATTAATATATATAAATTATTATTAATACTTAATTATATAATTAATAATTAATAATTATATTAATTATTAATACTAATATACATAAATTATTTATATATATATATATATGTGTGTGTGTGTGTATGTATAAATATAAAAGTGAACATAGAAGTCAACACTTAGAGGCGACAGTCTGTTTCATGCTAGATGCAATCGTGGCCTGACGATTGCATCTAGCATGGACC